TAAAAAAGCTCATTAGGAGCTTGATAAGGATTGTGTTAGATTAATAGATGGGGAAATTGGCATCTTGAAAATTAAAAATCCCTCTGAATATCTCTCTATTTAGCTCTTTTTAAAAAAAGATTTACTTTTATTTTTAATCTATCTATTTATTTATTTATTGGAGAGGTTTTTGCTATAGAGGGTGTACGCTTGCTAGAAAGATAGAAAGAGACAGAGAGAGAGAAAGCGAGAAATCATCTGCTAGGGGAGAGGGCCATGCTGCAATCCCTTCTCCTCCATTCTCCTCTCCGGATCTTCGGCACGCACGCACACATGTCCAGTGTGAGTTTAAGCCACCAGGTCTGAGACTCAAACCATAATTGAGTACATGGGAGTCCAGGGACATAGCCATTACGCCAACTGCTGGTCCCTGTATGAAAATTTTTGAGGTAGCGGCAGCCCATGTAATAGGAAGGACGTGGTATCTGGAGTCCAAGGACCTGGAGTCCCAGCACTGGTTCCTACCAAAGGCATGACCTTGAGAAAGTGGCACCATCTCTCTGGCCTCAAGTTTTTCATGTATAAGATGAGTGCAATGATATTGACTCCATAAGCTGTTGTGACAATTGCATGAGAGAATGTTTCTGGAAATTGCTATGCAGAGGTGTTATGTTCTTATTAGTTTCTGAACTGAGATGAGAACCCAAATCCTTTAACTCCCAGACCAAGTTTTCTGTCTCTGTGACATTTATTGGTTCTCAGCAACAGCAGCATCTTCCCAGGACTCACTCTGTCACTGTGAGCTCAAAATTGTAATAGACATTGAACCATGAGGTTATAAAACAGTTTCTGTGTTTCCAGAGTCCCCTTCTATCTTCTTTGAGGTTCATTCCTTTTCCTATTGGGTTTTCAGTGTGTGTATGTATCCAGGCAGGTTTTATGAACTTTATGTTCTGTCTGGACAGATAAGTAGACCTGTGCTCACTGTGGATGAAGCAGAAAGAGCCTGGATATCAGAACACCTGAATTCAAATCCCAGCTCCCTTGTTTACCTTAACCTCTCTGATGTTTAACTGGTGTTTCTTTGGCCATAAAGAGGAGAGAACCATACCTTCCTCCAGGGCTATGCTGAGGATTAAATGAGATTACACTCACCAAACTCTGAGTAGTGAGTTTACACATAAACACTCCATGGCCATTCATAGAAGCATATAGGTACCCCACACACTTCTACACAGGCACATCCTCTCCTCACACATAGATTCTGATAACCAAATAAGCCAGGGTAGAGGTTTTTTTACCATCCTCTGAGAAAGTTTTAGTAGACTATCTCAATTCCTTTCCTTTGAATTTGAGATGATAAAAATCTAAAAATGAAATTGGAATGCCAAGTTAATAAAAGCTGCATCAAAACTTATGTTTAAAATATCAGTGGAGGGACCAGCAGTTGGCAGAATGGCTATGTCACTGGATTCCCATGTAGTCGACCGTGGTTCGAGTCCCAGACCCAGTGGCTTAAACTCACGCCGGGCGTGTGTGCGTGCGTGCCCAAGATCCCAATAGGAGAATGGAGGAGAAGGTACTACAACATGGCTGTTCCCCCTAGGGGGTGATTTCTCACTTTCTGTCTTTCTGTCTCTCTCTTTCTGGCGAGCGCACATGCTCTATAGCAAAAACCTCTCCAATAAATAAATAAATAAATAAATAAATAAATAAATAAATAAATAAATAAAATGTCAGTGGAACTAACCATGGATTTTAAGAGAACATTTGTCACCCACAAGCCTTCTTTCTCACCCCCAAAACTTGATTGTCTTCAGTTGGAAAGACATCTAGGTAAGAAGCCTGGCTAAGCTATATTGAAGAAATATGAAGCCATCAGTCCTCAGGTAGTTCACTTCATCTAGGATAAATATTCATTATTTTATGCCTCCTCAATATGGCAAGGAGTTTATGCAGAATCTTCAGAATCATACCGTGTTAGTCTCAGAAGACAGCATAGCTAAAAAGAACAGGTTCAAATGTGGGCTCTACCATCCACCCTTAGGTAAACTAGGACAAGTCTAGTGAGGCCAAAGACCAAGAGTATCTTCCTGTGAAGACCTGACAAGTTCATGTATATATTGTTAGACTCTAAGCTCCATTTTGATTATTATTAAGAAGAAAAAATAGCCATGCCTGTCTTAAGTTGTGCCCTTTAAGATGTACATCCTAGTAGAGGTGGGAAGAAGGGGTGAGAGACAAGAGGAGAATTTCTCTCTTATTTAATTAAATTCAGCTGAAAATAAGACTGGAAAGGACTTAGAAGGCACATTGAAAAAGCACAGTTTACATTCCAACTGCAGAAAAGTGCAATAAACAGCAATGACATTTAGAGACTCTTGGAACGTTAGTGACATTGAAGAGATACTCTTAGATAAACAGAGGTTGGATGTCCTTCGTGTAAATAGTCCTCCCAGGAATCCTGTCTGAGGCAACAAAGTGCAGTGACAAAAAGCTCTGCCAGACAGACCAGATCCTAATCCCAGTTTAGCCATTTCCAGCAGTACTACTGTTAGACTTGGGCAACAGGGACCCTGCCTTGGGTACCATATTTTAGAAGGTCCCATCATGGCCCTCTGCTGGCTACATCAGGGAAAGAAATCTTCACAGGGACATGCTGTCCAGAGCTTGGCGCACATGTATACATTTATGGGAAGCCTGAATTAGAATCCGGGTCCACCCAAACATGCTCAGCATGTCTACAGTTGTGCCTATGATCCTGGCTGGCTGGAAGAAGGGGCAGGGTCTGTGTTATGGCAGGAACTTGTTGAGGATCTCTCTCACTTGCTTTCTCTCTAAAAACATAAAATATTTTTTAAAAATTTCTTTAGAACAGTAAATAAACAAATGTTAGGTGGTCTTATTATTACTGATCTCAGTCACCAACTAGAATATAAAGTCTTTTGGGTTCATGCTTAGTTGTCTTTCTTGCAACAATACCCATCGCTGACTGAAACAATGAAATGAGGGAATTGAAAGATGGCTTGGTGGTAAAATGTGACACTCTGTGACGCTGACCACACGGGAAGGTTCTGGGTTCATGTTCGAAGACCTCCCTGAGTAAGTTATGTATGTGTGTGCCCATCATCTGGGCTGGCGGGTCACAGCTAAACAGACCTGTTAGGAGTGCTATCTGTGTGTGTATGCGCACATGTGTCTTTCTCTCTCTGATGTACACATTCTTCAAAGAAATAAGTTAACTTGGCGGGGGGGGAGTGAGAGTTCAGGGGAACAAAATGAGCTTGTGAAGAAATAAAGGAAGCAACTGTACTAAGACTTTGGGGACACACTCTATATTAACGAAATCTCATCCAGCATGAAATATAATTAACTTCGGCCTGTAACTTATAAAATGAAAATGGCTTACAGGTGTTTTTAAAGCTGTAAGACAGTAAGAGACTTTACTCCTAATAAAAAAGCAAAACCAATGTGCAGAAGAGACAATGCTCTGAATGTGCCATGACTCAACTGAGAACATTTAAGTCAGAAAACAGTCTCATTAAGTCTTAGACTTTGGACTGAGATTTGAAATGAAAATTTAAAATACTTACATTCTGTTCAGCACCGAGGTCATTAAAATACAATTCTCCTACAATCCTCAGGGAAGACAGTTCAAGTCACTTTACATAAAACAGAACATTGGTCTCTTAACAACTTAAGGAACTTTTAGAGAGAAACACAGTTAGTTGTTGTAAAAGCTGCCTATTTTGCCATTAGCAGTCATCTTCCAGTAAAACTTGGGTCATTTATAGCAGGATTAATTTTCTTTTTGTTTTTTTTTTTTTCTTTATTTGCAAGAGGGCATGTGCACTCACCAAACAGAGACAGAGAAAAAGTGAGAAGGCACACTCCATAGGGCATGGCCACGTTGCAATCCTTCTCCATCTCTCCCTCCTTTTCAGGATTTTAGGGACATATGCACACTCACCTGACATGTTTTTCAAGCCACCAAGTCTGGGACTCAAACTGTGTGGTCAGCCATGTAGAATCCAGCCACCTTAACCATCAGGCCATGGGCTGGCCCAAGTAGAGTAAGTTTTCATCAGTGACCATTGTATCACCACCCAGAGTTGCCAGTCTCCTCCTCCCCTCCTTCAGTTAGCATAGCATGGTACTTGGTGAAAAGTTGACATCTAAATAGGACTTTCATAATATTAAGTAGGCTATTATTTCATGATTATATGGACCTTAGTCATTCCTTGTGACAAGATTTTGCAGCCTTAGCTCTCTTGACATTTTTGGACAGACAATTCTTTTTTCTTTTTTTTTTTTTTTTTTTGGGGGGGGGGAGCCGGCCTGTGCACTGTAGGATATTTAGCAGCATTCAGGCCTCTAGTTACCAGAAACCAGTACATCCCCATTCCAGTTGGAACAACCAAAATTATCTATAGGCATTGCCAAATGTCCCTCTCAACCTCAGGGACAAATTCTCCAGGGTTGAGAGTCACTGCTTGATGAAAACCCCAAGGCCCAACTAGTAAATGATCTCCCAATCATTTACCTGGATGGGAAACTCATGTGTCCTTCTAGAATTAACTTAACTGTAACTTTCTCCTAGCAGCTGTTCCTTGTTTCTCTGACAAGACTTAGACACTTCCTCCTCCATACCCTGTGGCATCCTATTTGATCGTCTATCCTGGAGTTAACCGTGGACTGTTCGTGGACTTGTCCTGCCGAAACTTACGCCTTTATAACAGTTGTTACAGTCTCCATCTCCTTCTCCATCACCATAGTCAACCTCATCATTGTCACCCTCCTCATCATCTGCCAATATTGAACATTTTCTCTTTTTATTTTATATTATTTTATTAGTGTAATTGTTTTATATTATATTTAATCACATATATCTTTACAGTGTATTACATTTCTTTTTCCAGCACAAGTACCATGCATATCAGTCAAGACAAAGACAGTACTAACAACAGCATCACCATCAAATAGCTTTTCATCATTTTTTCAGATTATTATTATTATTTATTCTCATTATTTTTAAACATTTGACTACCATATATCATTTAGCTTGTAAAAGAATTTACCCAACATGAAATATGTCTCAGACCAGTCCAGTTGAGAATACTGTACATGTTACCATCAACAGGTAATAAGCCATTTCTGTGTCCCACTAATGTCATGCCTCTCTATTTGTTCTCATGCTATCCTTCTCCGCACTCTTCTCTTCTCCCCCAACCCCCATTCCACACTGTCTTCATCATCCATTAATATTGAGCTTTTTCTACATGTCTGTCACTATGCTCTTTTTCTTGCTTTTCTATCAACAACCCTCAACCTATTTTATAAATGAGGAAACTGGGACTCAAAGAGGTTAAGTACCCTTACGTTGCTACAATTACAGGTTTTCAGGTTCATCTCAGCATACAAGGCTCTAAGAGAGCAAAGTGTCTGTTATTATCTTCATAGACCTATTACCTAGCAAGTTTCCTAAAATTAAGTAGGTATTTAGTAACTAATCAGTTCCACAGTTAGGCACTATCCTCTGTGTTTGGGTATACAACAAGGAATAAGGTGGGAGCCATGTTCTAGGGGAGCTTCCCATCTAGCAGAATAGACACTGTCTCCAAAGGTCATTTTGGTGATAAGGTCATGATGGGAGTATGGAAAGGATGCTCAGGAAGTGCCTGGCCCAGCTGAGGAGAGTAGGATGTGCCTAGTGCAGGTCACATCTGAGTGATGAGCATGAGGGAACACTCCTGGGAGACAAACTAGCCCAAGAACAGCATAATAGCATAAAAACGTTCAAAAAAATAAAAAGTTTGGCATTGCTGGAACTTGCAGCAGACAATAAGGAGGAGACATAAATACCCTTGCTTATACATTATGCTGGGATGAAAAGAGTTGGTAAGACTTTAAGCACACAGAAGCCAGATTTCCCTTTGAGAGAGATCATTCAGAGGTTATTTGAGGGATCTACTTAAGGGCAAGTTACAAAGGGCAGGAAAAGCAGTTAGGACATCACTATAGCAATCCAGGCAAAAGGTAATGGGATTCTGGGAACTTTGTCCAACAAACTCTCTTTGAAGAGCTATTTGTCCTAGGTCCATATTTAGAAACATGACTAGATTCCTAAGTATTCTTTGGGATACTCTCCTAAACATGAGTCATATCTGTGGTATGGTATGACCATAGCAAAACTGGGATATAGTTACAACATATCTTTGACTCCCCACATGTGTCCTCTCTGGAATGCTCTTCTCCTACCTCGTGTTTGGTTCCCTGATCACCTCCAGGATCCTGACAGATGTCACCTTCTCTTAAGCTCTTTGCCAATTTTAGCCAACTGTCAACCCTCTTGGCTAGGTACCAGTAACCAGCTGGAGCCAGAGCTTACAAGAACTAAATTCTACATTTTCAGGAATTTTGTAAGCTAGTTGACTTTATGCTCATAGTTTGAAATTGGCCAAGGTGGGAGTATGAACAATAGAAATTGACAAATGCTACATACAAATCCAGGCATTTCTTCCCCCTAGACAGCTAGTTGTTAAACAGTAGCCAGCACACCACTGCTAGTATAACTTTAACTTTGTTTCTCTCTTACAAAACTATTGTTTTGTGTGTTTTTATTCACACTTTGAAAAGTACTGAGACAAAGAACATATGAAGATATCTGGTGCTTCTAGATAAGCCTAGTTTATTACATGCCCATTTTTGCAAGGTTTACAATATGTTGTAGACTCCACTAGCAATGCTCATTGTATTTGTGTCTCTCCCAGTCTTGACCCTATCCTACTCTGGGTATTGCTTTTCTCAGTGTGTTAAATGAGGGCGTTGGACTCTGTGATCTCAATACCAGTGATCTAAGAACCCTGAGAATGTGCTTCACCCTCTCCACAGATGCACTTGCCAGAAAGGTTATGTGGGCGATGGCTCAATGTGTTATGGAAACATCATGGAGCGACTCAGAGAATTAAACAGTGAACCCAGAGGACAATGGCAAGGAATGCTGACCTCTTTCATTTCACTTCTGGGTATGTGGTTATGAATACTTATTTCCACGTAAAGGGCAACCCTCTTTCAGACAAGGGCATCTACATAACACGATATTCAAAAAAAGATAAGCCAGCCAGCTCAGTGGCCTGGTAGTTGAGGCAACTGGATCCCATAAAGCCAAATCCATTGTTCAAGCCCTAGACCCAGTGGCTTGAGAAACACCAGGTGTGTGTATGTGTATGTGTGAGTGTGTGTGTGTATGCCCAAAATACTGAAAGGAGAAAGAAAAGGAGAAGAGATTGCAGCACAACCTGTCCCCATGGTGGGTTCTCTCTCTCTCTCTCTCTCTCTCTCTCTCTCTCTCTCTCTCGCTCGCTCGCTGTCTCTCCACAGACAACCTCTGGCAAAATTTTTTCACATAAAAGGATAGACAAGTCTTGTATATTAGGACAGCCCTCTTAGAGAGAGGCCATGCAGGTAAGAATGAAAGTACTGGCAGCTGTTCCAAAAAAGACAAACAGGATTTAGTGCCAAGAGATCTAGCAATGCAAGAATTAGTAGGCAGAGAACTGAGGACAGAGTCCTGGGGCCACCACATACAGTAAGACAGGGACGGCTACTGATGTGAAGATGGAGACCATTCTCCATTCCCTTGACTTTATGGATCCTTGAGGTATGAACAAAGACTGACAGCTAATACAAGACATAGAGAGTGGCAAAGACCCTGGGGTTGTGTCCATGTTCCTCAGTGGAGGTGTAATCTTAATTTTGGATGGTCTTTATTGTGTGCAACCATCTCAGCACCCTTGGCCCTTCCCAGCCACTAACTTCCTGTAGTGATGCATCTTCCTCCAGTATCCAAGGCAGCATGACAGCCTCAAACACCCTTATACATTTACAAATACCCTCTAGGGGTCATTATTCATACCCCACTGAGCATGAAATATTACAGCAGATGACAGAATTGGAAATGACTTTCAACAAAACAAAAATTTGTCCAATGAACAAAAAATAGCAGATTCAACAAATCATTTAAGAATATTTAAATAAGAAGTCTTAAAATATCAATATTTATTTTAGAATATGCCAGTCATCAAAAATGACTTCCCAGAAAGAATGCAGATAAAGAAATAAGTATCATCAGTGGATCAATGCTCTATTTGCTACAAAAGTTTTAACATACTTCCTGCCCAAATATCCTGTTCATTACAAGGCATCCTGTGGGAGTCAGGCATTACTGGCATGCCTTGGGCTTAAGGGTAACTTTCTAGGCTCCTCACAGCTTTCCTTTTAAAAACTGAGAATATCAAATGGGAGCACTTGAAGAGGATTGTAGTCCTTTGCAGACTGAGTCCTCAAATGTTTTCCTGGATGGAGTCCTGTTGAACTCTCACCTCCCCTACTCCAAAGTGCTGGTACTGCTGCTTCCTGTGTGAGTATACAGAGTTGACCCAGTTTCCCCAGAGGGTGGAAATAGAACTGGCCACCTATTTGCTGGACCCAGCACAAAATAAAAATGTGAGATCCTTTGTTCAAAAATTCAAGATGGCAACAGCAGAGCCTTCAGTCAGGTGTGGGGCTCTTCTGAGCTGGCCATAGATGGAAACAAGGGCTGCTTCTTTACTCATCAAGATGGCAACAGCATAGAAAGTCAAGCACAGACCCAGCTGCGGTAGCATGTCCTGGTTGACACTGCTACTTGGCAGGCTAAGATCGCATGGGAGGCTCAGGTTTAATTCCCAGCCCATCCTAAAAGTCAGGTTTAGTGACACACATTAGGAGGCTGGGATAGGAGGACCACAACAGAGCAAGGCCCTGTTGAAAAAAAGGAAGAGAAAGAGAGGAATGGAGGAAAGATGGGAGGGGGGAGGAAGGAAAAGAAGAAAGGGAGAAAGGCAGAAAGAGAATCGAAAGAGAGAAAGAGAGAAAGAGAGAAAGAGAGAAAGAAAGAAAGAAAGAAAGAGAAAGAAAGGAAAGATAGAGAAAAAAGAAGAAAAAAAAGAAAGAGAAAGAAGAAAGGAAGGAAGAACAAAGAAAACAAAAGAAGAACAAACGAAGGGAGGAAAGGAAAAGAAAGAGGAAAAAAGAAAGAAAAAGAAAGAAAACAAGAAAGAAAAAGAAAAACAAAAAGAAGGAAATGCAGAAGAGAAGGGAAAGAAGGAAAAAAAAAAAAAAAAAAAAAAAAAAAAAAAAAA